CTGGAATGTCACCTCTGCAATGAGGAGGCCACCCTACATTGCAACACTATACTCTAATTCTAGCACTCCTTCCTTCTGGGACTTCACTTTCTCCAGAGTACCATCATATACATTCTAGATTATTTTTTTGTTTAAAGTCTGGATTTGTAGTTCAGGCTGGCCCTGAACTCACTTTGTACCCCAGGTTGGCCTTGAATTCCTGGCAATCCTCCTGCCTCAGCCTCCTGAGTGGTGGGATTACAGGTTTGCACTACTATACCTGGCTCTATATTATGGTTGCCTGCCTCCTTCCAACAGACTACAAGCTCCGCAGCGTTGGTTTTGCTTTGCATACTCTAGGCCTAGGATAAGGAACACAAGCTCACTCCCAAGACATTTGTCAGATGAGTGTGGTGGCACAGGCTGTAATCCCAGCAACTGGGGAGAGACTGAGGCAGATGTACCATTAGTTCTAGGCCAGCCTCGGTTGCTTACAAATAGAGATCCTGTCTTTTTCTTTTTTTCCTTCTTTGGCTGTTTTGAGATGGGCTCTTGCTATGTGGTTCAAGCTGGCCTTGAGCTCACTATGTTGCCCGTTGGCCTCTTAACTCATAACACTCCTGCCTCAGCCTCCCAAGGGCTGGGATTACAATCATGTGCTACCACACAGGGCAAGAGAACCTGTTTTCAAAACAAAACAAAAAACTTGTGAAATGAATGAATGAACACTATTTTCTCCCCCAGTCCTGTACATGCAAGGTGAATAGAACTGGGTGGGTTCTAGCCCCATCCCCCGTTGTGGCACGAGGCAGTGCCTGCCTGCACAGTGCTAAATAACTATCTTGAAGGAATGAACGAGAAGCCCCCTCTTTTTTTGTCCAGGCGCCCTGGGATTGACAGAGGCATCGGACCGTATAACGTTCCAAATGTAGCAATTTGCCTGGCTCTGAACTCTACCATCCACTTTGCAGGACCAGAATGCCCACATTTTCTCTTGGGACATGCACTTGGAGGGTGAGGACGAGGAATCTTACGCAGAAAAGCTGCCGATATTGAAAGAAGCCTATCTATCAGTTGTCCCAATGCCCCAGCACCAAAAGCCGCACGGGCACTACAGCCCTTCAATCCCAGCCCTCTCTCGCGACCAATGTTCCGCACCGTACTCCACTCCAGGGCAAAGGGGCCCCGGCTTCCTGACGTCACCCGGCAACGGGAGGAAACGCCCCTTCCTCTTCCCGGCTCACCGGGATCTTCCAGGCGATGTCCGAACCCTTGGACTCGGGGTAGAGCTTGTTCAGACTATAGATGCTCTGGTACTCGGTGCCGTCCACTTGCTTGTACAGAGCCCGGCGAGCGCTGCGTGCAGGCAGCGGAAGCAGCCGGGCACCGACTCTACTCAAGGTCCAACGCAAGCACCAGGTAGCCACCATGTTGGGTCTTGAGGCCACTTCCGGTGTTCACTCTTTTCCCTCCGTCCGTAAGGGCACGTTGCTCTCCGTATTTGGTTCCGCGCGGCTTTTAAATCCCGCTTCGCGGAGACGGCGAACAAATCTCTTCTCTGCGATGCTCCCTGGACGCGCGCCTAAGGGAGGCAAAACTGGCGTGGCGCGAACCAGACAAGGGAACCTCCCAGTAAAAAAGAACTCCGGATCACGTGTGCTTTAACATCACTTCTCTTTCTGTCGGTTTCATCCCGCCTGGGCCTCAACACCCAAATCGAACACACCAGTAAGGTCTTTTCTACCGGCTTTGGTTAATTCCTATCCTCCTAGTCGCACGCCTCGTCTTCCTTTTCTTTCTTTATCATTATTATTATTTTTTGGTACCGGGGATCGAACTCGGGTCCTTGTGCGCCAGGCGGTGGAACCACTGAACTGAATCCTCGGCCCTTGTCCTTTTAATGCTTTGCTTTACCTTTATTTTTAAATCCACGATTTTTGTTTTTGTTTTTTTAAACGGTCTCATGGCCGGGGATTTAGCTCAGTGGTTCCACCGCCTGCCTCGCAAGCACAAGGATCCGAGTTCAATCCCCGGTACAAAGCCAAGAAACAGAGTCTCACTATGTGATTCAGGCTGGCCATGAACTCACTTTGTAGCCCAGGCTGGGCTCAAACGTGTGGCTGTCCTTCTGCCCCAGCGTCCCAAGTGTATGATGGCACCATACTTTTCTAATTTGATTGCCCGTCTTCTAGCTAGACTGTAAGCTCCAAGAAGGCATCGGCACATTGCTGTATTCCGATCATCCAGGACTCAGTGTGTCATGGGCACTCCACAAATTACTGATCAAGTGAATTCTGTGGGAATGCATTTTAAAAGTTAAGTGCAGGTAGAGGGGCTGGGGAGGGCAGGTAGAGCTGAGTTAGGACTTCAGGTCTGTTCACAAGACAGTGAGGGGAGGCAGGTCACAGATGGAAATGTTTTAGAAACCCGGACCCCCCACCCTCTTCCAGCTTTATGGAGAGAACAACTCAATAAAGGTTAGTAATTCTTAGTAATGCTTGTGGTTTCTTAATGAAGAGTTCTATTTTTAGGAAAAAGCATAATTATGTAGAAAAATGTGCCCCTGGGAGATTTTTAACTGTCCCCTGGGGGTCCTAGCTGCTGAAACAGGAAATTGTCATTGAGTCCAGCGTTGCCATCGCAGCATTGAGAGAAGAAACCATTTTATTTTCTTTGTAACCTTCTTTTGGGCTGTAGGCTGGAAGGAGAGTCTCCTGGGTTCCTCTCTAACTGACTTAGTCCCAAGATCCCAGAGGAAACAGACGTCTCCATGGTGACTGGAATAAGCTGCTCAGAGAAGCAAAGTCAGGTACTCGCTCAGGTCTAGGGCTGAGGATTATGAGTAAAAGTCAGACCTTTCCAAGGCATCTGTGCTTGCCTGACCCAGAGCCACAGGAATAGGAAGCTGCAGATTTCCATGGCCCCAGATAAACACATCCTGCTTAGGCCATCTGGTGGCCTGGATTCTGGGAGAGATGAGGGTAGAGGAAAGAATGAGATAAGCTGCCCTGGAGTGGAGAGAAGAGCAGCTGGCAGGCTCCTCTCACCTGCCAAAGCCAGGAACCATCCAGAGTGGGGGCCCTGCTGGGAGAGGAGCCACCTGTTCCTTTAGAAAAGCAGGCCCTTAAAGGGAGGCCAGTGATCTCCTTTCCCTCTCGGTCCTCCATAGGTTGAGCTGGTGCCCCAGGGAGGGAACTTTCACAGGAGAGAGAGGAAGGAGAGGAAGAAAGGATAAGGAATCAGAATCACTGAAACATTCCTGGGAGCTGAGGACCTTGCAGACACTTTCTCTGTGGCCTCTGTTTTGGGGGGAAGCCTAGTGTGGGGAAGGCTCCGTGGAATTTTTTTTTCTTTTTTTTTTTTTTTCCAGCACCAGGGATCGAACTCAGGACCTTGAGCATACAAGGGAAGTGTGGCACCACTGAGCTAAATCCCCAGCCTAAATTCCCCCCCCACCCAAATGCCATGGATCAGAGGCCTTTCACAGCTCAACATTATGTGGACATTGGGGACAGGTAGCGAGGCACAGTGGAGTCAGCCAGGCCTGAGTTTGCATATTTCTATGTGATCTTGAATTATAATTTATCCTCTAAATCTCCATTTCCTGATCAGCAAAACAGATCTTATAGCTGCCTCATGAAGTTCCTGAGGGTATTGAACACAGGCAAAGCACTTAACACAGTGACTGGCATAAAGTCAGCAAAAATGCACCAAAAATTAGCTGCTACTTTCTTTTTTCTTTTAGAGACCTGGTGACTATTCACTTTTTTGTCTGTAGTTCTGGGGTAGGAAATCCATTCTGACTATGTAGCTCTATCCTGACTTTTTTTCCTTCTTTCCACAGTATGCTCCCTGGCATGAGGAAGTTGGCCAGGCTGCCCCCTACTTCCTTTACCACCAGCTTGTCTGTCTGGATCACTGAAATAGCCACTGCCCCGCCGGCTTTCAACTCAGTTTTGGGGGAGGGTCTAGGTGGGCCTGGCTGGCCAGTTCCCCCATCATGGAGGTTCTGTGGGTTTGGCCTTGCGAATGGGGAAGGTGTCAGATCAGCGAAGGAGAGAGCTGGAGAAAGAAACCCACAAAGCAGCAGGGAATATCTGCTGGCTAGGCTCCAGGTGGTGATCAGTGGGAGGAAGGGGCAGTAGAAAAACTGAGGGAGAGGACACGGCACTTGCTGAGCTTGCACAAGGCCCTGGGTTCCAGCACCATAAAAACAGAAATGCCAAGGGAGCAGGGAGCTGGATATAGGCTTCAGAGAGCTTGCTTTGCTTCTTGGTTGTGACAGTTCTGTGTGAGCAGGGCAGGGAGAGGTCCATCGGCACAGGGGTGTCCTCTGAAAGGAGGGCTGGGTGGGATTGGCAGTGTGAGTGACAGCAGATATCCCAAGGTACTGCTCAGTGGTAGGGATGGAGCCCAGGGCCTCATGCACACTAGGCAGGTGCCACTAAGCTATTTCTTCAGCCTCAAGGTGCCTCCCTGATCCAAATACGCAGGAATGTTTCCAGGCCTGAGACATCTACACTTGGGGAGACTAGTCTGTCCAGACTTGGAGATGCCAAGGTGGGGCATGGGAACTTTGAAAAAAGCCCACTTATTTTGCGAGGTAAATGGAAAACTGAAGGATTTTCTCATCACATCTGCACCATGAAAGTGGAGTCAGTGAAATCTTGGAGGTGGCAGGTTCTGCACCACAAGCTCAACTTCTCAGTACCCCAGTGATATGGACATGAGACAGACTTGGAAAGGGGCGAGAGTAAACCAGCAGAATGTGAACACCACAGGGCTGGGAGCTCTGTCTGTTCTGTTCACCACCGTCTCCCCACCATGACAAAAGCTACCGTCAGCATGCCCAGGGACCTCTGGGATCCTGCCTCCTGCCATATTGAGTAGTTTGGAGGGAAGCAGGACAAGGCCCTGATTAGGCTCACAGGAAAGGCCCTGGAGAGCAGAGCTCAGATCCTTCCCTTCCCTGTGGTGGGCGTGGAAGAAGGCAGGCTCGTGAGACTCAGAGACACTGGCTTCAGGGCTGTTTTCTGCTTTTAGAATACTGGTTCATTTTTTATTAAAGAAGAGAATAAAGCATTTGTAAATATATTTCTCTCATGTATACTTCAAAGGTGACACTGGTCAGCTGCTACAGAGCCGGGGAGTGAAGAGGCCAGTGCTTCCCCTTACCCCATCTCCCCCAGATGACAGACACACATGAAGGGCCAAGAGCTGCCCAGCCCCAAGGACACAAAGGTTCTAGGCTGCACAAACAGAAGGACCCAGCCACCAGCTCATATCACAGTGCCGCCTGGAGCATAGGCGCATCTCCAGGGCTGTCAGGCGTGTGTGTTAAGAAAACCCCTTTACCCATTAGAAATAAATAAGGCATGAAGGTTCCCTCTGGGTTCCCAGCACAGAGGCCAGGGCTGCTGCCTTCCCACATTGTATGGCTCCTCTGATTTCTAGGGTCTCAGGAAGGATGGCAGAAGGAGCCAAAGCCTTGAAGGACTGCAGAGGGTAAGCTGGGGACCTGGGCATCTCTCAGCTGAAGTCTGTCTCTTTGAAGCCTTACACCAAAAGGCCGAAGCCCTGATCCAGCTGGGGCCTCGGAAGCCTCCACAAAGGTGGGAGGTAAAAAGCAGGTATTTTACAGGAGGGAAGGAAGGAACTTGTTCCTCATCCCCATCCCAATTCAGTGCTATTCAGTGTGGGTGAGAATCTTGAGCAGACCCGAGCGAAGAGGATCAGGGACAGACACTGGGGTCACTGGCTGGTGGCACGTGCCCAGGACATTCTGGGGGCTGTGGATGTGGCCTGCATCAGGGCTGGCCTGTAGCAAGTGTGGAGTGAACGAGACGTCATGGTCCCTGAGATGGGGGCAGGTGCAGAAGGGAGGCAGAGGTGGTGTGCAGACACGGGGACAGGGCTTCCCTCCATCCTGGCCCCCAGAAGGCTTATGCCCAGAAAGCACTTCTGGGGCTGGAACGTGGGGAGGCTGGCTCTGAGAGAAACGGGGATGCCACTTGTGTATGGCTGTCAGGGGGCTCCTTTATCCCCTCTTCTGATTGGCTATCAATCTGCAGTGGGCCGAGGGTTCTTGCCGGGGTTGGCGTGGTGCACTCAAGACCAGGGTGAGGCTTCCTGCTTTGCAAAGCAAGGGCATCTATGAGCTGCTCAGGACTCTGGGGGAGGGACAGCTGGTGTGCTATGGGAATGACAGCGCATTACGGCTGGCACAAAGCAGTGGGTGGTCCTGGAGACCCTAGGAGCCTGAACACTTGGCTCTTGGGGTCCCCTTTCAAGTGTTTCCAGTTGTGGCAAGCAGTCAAAGAAGACCTTGCATTGCAAATCTTGAGGAAAAACTGAATTTGGAAAAACAAAAAGAACAACAAAAAAGCCAACTAATCCAGAATGGCTTCCAGAAGCCTGGCCCTATCTGAGGGTGAGGCCCAGGTCAGGAAGCGGGAGCAAGGAGTGCTGGGGACAGGGCATTGGGGACGTTTGGCTTTGAAACTGAGCTATGCCTTTAGGTGGAAGCGGGTGGCCTGTCCCATCCACCGGAAGCATGGAGCGTCCCCAGATCAGAAGGGCTTTGTTCCTCGCACACTGATAGAGGCCACCTGCTGGGATATATTGCTCCTAAAGGACTCTCTTATTTGTCACAGGCTGTGTGGTCCAGGCATGAGGGACCCCATGGCCTGGAGCCTGGGTAGGATCAGGCCACTAAAGGGTCACTTGCTGCTGTGTGTCTTGACTTTGGTGGCATTGATGTCGGCCTTGGTCTTCTGGATCCTGGCAAAGATCTCCTTGAAGAGCGCCTTGTACTCAGGCTGGCTCTGCTCCAGCCGCTTGTCCACGGCCTCCACGTGCTGGCTCAGGCTCTTCTCCCCTGCCCTGGCCTCCCCCTGGCCTTCCTCGCCCCCGCACAGGTCCCTCCACGAGCTGTCTCGGGAGATGGGCCTCGAGGTCTGCACGCCTGCGTGCCGCACCCCTGCCCCATGCTGCCGGCACTTGCTCAGCAGCTCCTCGTACTTCTCCAGCAGCGCATGGTACTGCTCGTCCACCTCCCGCAGGATGGACATACCGCGCCTGCGCACGCTGTTGGCGTGGAGTGTGAGGTTGCCAGCGTGCCGGCCAGCGGGGTCTTTGGCCACGATGGCGTTGAGCGCCGTGTCGCTGCAGCTCTTGCGCACCGTGTGGCCTGGGGAGGTGGCGGGCGAGGAGACACCGTCCTGAGTGCCAGAGTTGCCCCCGCTCCCTGGCTGGGGGTCGTCAGCCTCAGGGGCCTGCGTGAGCGGTGCCAGCAGTGCCTCGGCCAGGTGATCGTCCCGGCCCAGCAGGTAGGTCTTGGCCTGCTTCATCTGCTGCAGCTCCAGGAGCTCGGCTTCCAGCTCCTGCACACGCAGGCGGCAGCCCTCCATCTCACACAGCTGGCGTTCCAGCTCCGTGTACTCCTGCAGCACAGCCGTGTACTCGCGCTCCGCCCGCTCCTTGCGCTGCCGCTCCTGGCTCACTTGGGAGCGCAGCACCCCCACCAGGGTCTGCAATCGCTCGTTCTCCTGCTCCAGGGGTCGAGGGCCCAGCTCCAGGGAGGAACTATGCAGGCGGAAGCCATCCTCACACCTGGCGGGGAGATGGGCAGGTCGTCTCGGCAACGGCTCCCAGCCTAGCGTCAGACACCCGGCTGGCTCTTCTGTCTGTCCTCCGAGTCATCCCTACCCCGCTTTCCCTGGAGGCTGGTCACTGGGGGCGGCCTCAGCCAGCATTCCTGCTGTCTCCTGGCTCTGCAATGGTAGGCAGGGGTGTTTTCTCCCCAGGCCTTGTCTCTGGATGGTCCAGCCAGGCAGCCCTCTGCATACCTGCTTACTTCTGGTAATCTCCCTCACCTTGCCTACGGATGGTGCAACCCTAGGGTGCTACAGTTCCATACAGTTTCTCTTCTCTAATAACCTCCCCTCTATTATTCTGTGCAAGGACTCTATTTTTTATTTCATTTATTTTTTGGTATTTGAGACAGGGTCACACTGTATAGTTTAGGCCAACACCATGCCTGACTAAAGACTCATTTAAAACACCCAGTAAATACATGATCTGAGCTAGGTTTGGAGGTGCACACCTGTAATCCCAGTATTCTGGAGGCTGAGGCAGGAGGATTGTAAGTTGGAGTTCAGTCTGGGCAATTTACTGACTTAGTGAGACTCTGTCTCAACATTTAAGAAAAGGAACACAGGGCCTGGGATGTAGCTCAGTGTGAAGGCCCTGGGTTCAATTCCAAGTAGCACAAAACAGAATCTATCCCTCTCTCCTACAGCGCTGGGGATCGAACCCAAGACATCGTACATATTAGGCAAGCACTCTACCATGAACTACACTACCACACTGCATTCTTTTCTTTTCACTTCACTTCTTTTTCTTTTTTGGTACCAGGGATTGAACTGGCCCTCATTTCATTTCTTTTCTTTCTGTCTGTCTGTGTCTGTCTGTCTTAGATTTAATTGGAACTGAAAGGTACAGGGCTTAACCCTTCCTGGATTAGAACCCTGGCTATGCCTCTTACTAAACACATGACCTTGGATAAGACACTTAACCTACGAGCTTCAATTTTCTCATCTCAGTAGTGGTCTGAGTAAAACACACTTCGCAGAAGGTGATACATGTTAATCAGCCCAGTAGTAGCGCATAGCTAGTGCAGCTATTGTAAGTGTCCTTAGGACAGCCTCACTGATGACCTGAACAAGGCCCCAGCCCTTCTTCCCACCTGCTGCCTGGTGTCCATCTCCTCCTTCCTCCCCTGGGTGGCAGTCTCAGGACTCTGAGACACCTACCGTGGGCTTGTGCACAGCTCCTTGAGGCAGGGGAAGGTATGGATGGTTCGCCTGCGTTCCCGCTTCTCCCGGCGCACGTGCAGTTGCTCCAGACCCCGCAGCTGCTCCACCTGGGCCTGCAGCTCCTCCACCTGGGCCTGCAGACGCTCCACAGTTTCTGTCAGCCTGGAGTTGGAGCATGGGGAACACATGGTTTTGTTTGTTTGTTTTGCAGCAGTGCAGGGCCTTCATAGTGGGCTACATCTCAGCCCTTTTTCATTTTTAAAAGTTTATTTTTCTTTTGTGGTACTGGGGATTGAACCCAGGGCTTTTGTGCTGAGCTACATCCTTGTGCTCTTTAAAAAATTTTGAGACAGGATCTCACTAAGTCACTAAGTTGCCCAGGCTGAGTTTTAACTTGTGATCCTTCTGCCTCAGCCTCCCAGAGTGCTGGGATGATAGATGTGTGTCACTACACCTGGCTATAGGAAAAGGTTTTTGGTTTGGTATGAGGGATTGAATCCAGGACCTTACACTTGCCAGGCAGGTGTGGCACCACTGAGCTAAATCCCCAACCCTGGGAAAAGTTTTAAAAGGACAGCCCTCTTCACGGAAGCCCAGGTTCCCCGTAGATGAAGGGACGTGGGGCTGGGGACAGACAGGCAGCTTCAGGCCATTCTGTCTGAAGTCAGGTAGGGAACTCTCTACAGCCCTAGGAGCTACCTTTCTCTCATACCTCCCAGACCCTTCTCACCCAGCCCCTCGGCTCCTTGTACACTCCTCTATCATATGGCACCCTGCACCTCTGCCTTCTCTCTCAGCCATGAGCTCCTACAGGGCAGGCCAGTGTCTCGGCATCCCCACCATTGTATTCCCAATACCTAAAACCGAGCCGGGTGCACAACTGGTACTTTAAGAAGGGTTGAGGGCTGAATGTCAAACCATGAAAAATTGACAAGGTCAAACTCACTACAACCCCAGGGTCCTCAGCCTGGGCCACTGGGAGAAATGCCCGAGACCCTCCTACCAGTCCAGATAGCCAGGGGTGCCCAGGCCCAGGCCCCGCTCTTGCCAACCCAGCCTCAGCCCAGCCCTTACCCATGGATTTTCTGCTGGGCAGCCTTACTCTCCACCACCAGCCTCTGGTTGGTCAGTTCCAGGTCTCGGGCTGTCAGGTCCAGCTGCTCGTACACTTTGGCATGTTGCTCATTCACATGCCGCAGCATGTCCAGCTGCTTGGTTAGGTACTACAGGGTGAGGAGTAAACTTTAGAATGGGTCAGGGGTAAATGTTTCCTCCCACTCCTAGAGGCAGAGGACCAGTAGGGCTGCCCGGGACAGTTTACAAGTTATGACCTGCTGAAGGCGGTTGGACCAAGCCCGTGTCTACTAAGAGGGTACCTTTTGGAAGGGGTGAAGGTAGGGCAGGGATAAGGGGAAAAAATGAGAACCAAGACCTGTCATGTAAAGGTACAAGACCCCAATAATGAATGTAACTGTACTGTATACCTAAAATGTACCAATAAACTCAATAAAAGAAGAAAAAAAAGAGGGTACCTTTTGCAAAGTTGCACAAAGGTGCACCCAGGCCAAGGGCACTTGATGGGTAGGGGGAGCCCTCACCTCGATCTCTTGCACTTGCTCCTCGTTGGTGGAATACATCTGCTGCAGGGACTCCTCCAGTTCCTTGTTCCTCTCCAGCAGGGTCTTCCCCAGCTCTGCGGCCAAGTGCAAGTCTGGGGAGGGGGCCAGAATGGGGGACACAGCAACATGAGACAGTCAGAGGCTCCCACTAATGCTCCAGGCATTCATTCTGGGCTCGCTGGAGGACTCCCAGGCAGGCTGCTCCCTGGGAGCCTTCAAGCCTAGGAGGAGAGGAAGCCAGAGCTAAGTTTTAGTACTGCTGTCACTTCTCTCCACGGTGCCCTCTCCCAGATACACTTCTTTTCCTCCCTCAAGTCTGCACTTAAATGTCATCTTCTCTAGGGAGGTCTTCTCCAACCATAAGACTCAGGTCATAGCCTCTCTGGTACTGCTTCTTTCCCTTACTTACTTTTTCTCCCTAGCATTTCATACCCTCTAAATTATCAAAGATACTCACTTACTTTACTGATTGTGAGTCAGGGCACAGGGATCTTTATGTTTTGTCCACTGATATCCCCAGGCCCTAGAACAGTACCTGGCACAGGTATCACCACTCACCAGTAGAGCACCCCCGGGTTTAATCCCCAGTGCTGATAAAACAAAGCAGAACAGTCTGTGTTTGCGGTCTGGGGGGAGGGGAGAAACAGGGTGGAAAAGGAAAATATACCAGCCAGAGAAAGGTGCTGTTAACATTTTGGTGACCATCCTTCCAGGCAGTGCTTAAAGTATCTCTAGATCTGCCAGAAACAGGTAAAGTTTGGTCTTTTTTATTTTATGGGGCTATTTCCTAAAATGTTCTCAATCTAGGCCAATAGTGGAAATCTGGAGTAAGATGCATAAAGGCAATTCTACTGGGGCCCATGTGATGTGGTTCAAGGACTCAGCTCAGTGATGCTTTCCTTTTCTAGACACGGTGATCATTTGGGTTCCCTAGAGGATGGATGGGCCTTTATTCCCTCTTGGCAAGTTTCATTGCTATGGTTGGTTCCACGGAGCCATTTGCTTCACATCAGATAGGTCTGGACTGGGGGCTCCCTTCTTCTTCTTCTTTTTCCCCCAGTACTGGGGATCAAACCAAACTCAGGACCTTGACTATGCAAGGCAGGTGTGGTGCCACTGAGTTAAATCCCTGGCCCTAGGGCGCTCCCTTCTTGATGGGCCCTAGAGAGCAAGGACTCTGGAAGTGCAGTTGAGAAAAGGGCCTTGGCTGACTTTCAGCCAAGCAGGGGGCAGAACTGACATCATCATATGAAAGGCAGAGGAGCCAGGCAGGGTGGCGCATGCCTGTAATTCCAGTAATCTGGGAGGCTGAGGCAGGAGGATCAGAGTTCCAGCCCTAGATTTAGCGAGACCCTGTCTCAAAATAAAAAATATAAGGGCCAGGGATTTAGCTCAGTGGTGCCATCACCTGCCTCGCAAATGGAAGGTCCTGAGTTCAATCCCTGGTACCAAAAAACAAAAACAAAAAGCAAAAACAAAAAACAAAACAAAGCAAAAATGGGCTGGGGATGTAGCCTTAGTGCAAACACCCTGTGTTCAATCCCCAGAACTAAAAAAACAAAACAAAAAAAAGAGGGTCCTATGCAGTTACCAGTCCTGAAAAGGCCAAGTCACCATCAGAAACAAACGTGGAGTCTGCCCTCATGCCTAGAGGTGAGTTTTGAAATAGCTAGAGCAGGTCAGGCATGGTGGTGTGTACCTGTAATCCCAGCACTAGGGAGGCTGAGGCAGGAAGATCACTGCACATTTGAGGTCAGCCTGGGCTACATAGTGAGTTCAAGGCCAACCTGAACTACATAGTGAGACCCTGTGTCACAAAAAGAAAAGTAAATTAATAAAATGGAGCCAGAGTTGGGTCTCCATGGCTGGCTGAAGCCAGAGGAAGGCCTGTGCCTGGGTGTCTTGGGAAAGCAAAGCACAGCTCCTACCCTGGAGCCAGGGTGGGGAAAGGAAAGCAGTTTAAAAAAAAAAGAAAAGCACAGCTACTTTTTCTGCAAGTCAGGCAAATGTCTGGCAGCGCCTACAAAGCATGATGTTTGATGTTATGGTTGCTGAACTACAGGCCTGTGTTATGTCACGTGCTTGGCAATAACTGGGGGCCACTGCTAGTTCATGATGAGAGAGCAACACTACCTTCCTATTTTCTGTGACTGGATGATAAGCATTCAACTTATCCTCACACTGTAGCCAATAATTCTGATATAAATGAAGAAGGACAAACCAGGCGAGGTGACACACAGCTGTAATTGCAGCTACTTAGAAGGCTGAGGCAGGAGGATCGTGAGTTTGAGGCCAGCCTGGACTACATAGCCAGAGCCTTTCTCACAAAGCAAAAGCAAGAAAAACCAAAAAAAAAAAAGCACAGAAGGCCACCCTCCTGAATGCTTCCCTCCTTGGAACCAGAGAGTGGCCTGAGAACAGGCCATGACTCAACATAGGTTGCCCACATAGGGCTCCTGCAACTTAACCAGAATCCAAGACCACAGAATCTGACAGAGATAAGCAAAGGCCAAGTGTACCTGCAACATCAGGGATGTGTGATTCTCCTGATGCCCACAGGCTGGAGAGGAATAAACCTCACCGCAAACAGGGACAGTGAAGGCAGTGGTTTTATATGTAGCAATGCCCCAGAGGCTGAGAGGGAATAGCAGGGAGCCTCAGGGGTGTCTCTGAAAAGAAACCTGAAATCCCAGCACTCTGGGAGGCTAAGGCAGAAGGATCACAAGTTCGAGCCCAGGCTGGGCAATTTGGTGACAGTGAGATCCTGTCTCAAAATTTAACTTTTTTGGGGGGTTTTCTTTTTGTTTGCTGTTTTCTTTTCTTTCATTCTCTTTTTTTAATAAAAAATGTTTTGGGGGGTACTGGGGATCAAACTCTGGACCTTTTACTTGCAAGGCAGGCGGTGGAACCACTGAGCTAAATTCCCAGAGTTCACTAAAGAAATTTTTAATAAGGGCTGGGGATGTAGCTTAATGTAAAGGCTCTGGGTTCAATCCCTAGTACTGAAAAGAAAGAAAGGAAGTGAGGAAGAGTGAGAGAAAGAAAAAGAGGAAAAGAAACCTCACAATCACACTGCCCCACCTGACTTAAGATCAGTGAGGTAGGTGGGTACAACAGACTCCACAGTGGAGAGGTGGGAGAGGGACAGGGACTAGGCACAGGGGAGAGACAGAGGTCAAGGGCGTGAGGTGGAGGTGCAGGACACCAGCTCCAATCTGGTAGGCCTGAGAGGTCCTGCTCACAGTGCCCACGGCACAAGAGTCAGAAACTTGGGATCCACAGAATTGGGGTCAGGTCACATTCAGGGTAACCAGCACAGAGAAAGAACAGACCTTCTTTTTTTGCCATGTCAAAGCCTCCCCTGAGGTTGAGGACTCGAGGTCGGGCTAGGCAGAGGAGGAAAGGGCAGCTCTGTGACTCAGCAGCCACCCCACAGCCTGGACAGAGTTGTCCTCAGGGCCTGCTACACTGGGTCTAAGGTGGGGGAAGGAGGTGGGCAGAGAGAGGCCAGTTCTTTAATAATTAATGGCCTTTTCTATTTTTACAGTTGCTCGTGGTAGTGGGCAGAAGGAACACAGTGAATCTAGGGCTGGACCTATCCCAACCATCTCCTTCCAATCAAAGACAGGATCTCCAAGGCCAAACTTCTGGGAAGTGAAGTCCAGGCTTGCCCAAGGGTCACAGAAAAACAGACATGGAGGGAGACCAGATGGAAGGATAAAAAACCCACTCCCTGGGCCACCCAGAGGCCATCAGAGAGCTGCTGTGCAGAAGAGAATTTGGGGAAAGGGGATACAACAGCCACCTGATCCCCGCCGCAGTATGGTGTCCTTTGGCTGGTGCCCCACCCCACTGTCCAGCTCTCTGCCTGGTCTCCAAGGTCAGAGTGGGGCTGGTGCCTCTGTAGCTGTGCCTGGGACTTCTGCCGCCTCCTAACCACTCTTCCAGTCTTTGCACATAACTCCAGGCCTTGGGATAAGCATCCCTCCCCCTGGCATTCCAGGAGCCTGGGCTCAAACCTTTCTGAGTCTCTGTTTTCTGTCTCTGGGTTTAGGAGCCTGCAGAACTATTGGGACGGTTGTTAGTTAGATCCCATTTGTGTCTTCTCTGCTGGAATGTGCAAGCCCCTGAGGGTACAGATCATGTCCCCAGATCCCCAGGATCAGCTTAGCCCCAGCCCATGGCAAGCACACATCTGGGTTTTGGTGAAAAACTCCAGGTTCTTCCATGACTGTCTCACTACTGGTTTCCTTCTTGTTCCTGGGCTCCAGCTACCACTAGTGCGGCAGATCAGCAGGGCCCAAGAATTGGGGGCCCATCACCCACAAGACCGCAGAGCATAGCTGCTTAGCCCCACAGGAATCTCAATACCTCTCCCTCCCTAGAAGCTATATATTTCCCACCCCTATCCCTGGCTCCTTCCTTCCACATCTGGGCTGGGCACAGTACCAAACCTTCATTAGGGGCACAGGAACTAAATGAGACTGCAACCGTAATAAGCATCTGCTTTCCAGGGAGGCCATCTTCCCCAGAACTCAGCTTCTGATCTTTCCTTCTAATCCTGCCTCTTCCAGGAAGGCATCCCCTAATGCTGGGCCACTGATACTTCATTGCCAGCCGGACTCCTCCATCACCCAGGTATGCTGAGAGGGTCATGGCTGTGATTATTCCTAGCTCCCAAGATGATAATCTGGCATTTAAGTGGGTCGCGTAGGTGTTTGGGAAATGGAAAGTTTTGGGGAGAGTGTTCACGGGGAGGGGTTTGTCGCAGCCAGTATGGGGCATCTCACTGTGGAGAGCTGAGGCTGGAGTCCAGAGCACACATCTCAGCAGGGTCTAGCCCAGTACCCTCCATTTCACATGGGTCCCCTGAGGCTTGATTAACCCACAGTGCAAGGACAGGGCCTCATCTGTGTGTACATCATGGCTGTGTAGGGAAGTGGGTCAGGGCCAGGAAACAAAGGCACCAGGATATAGCTGGATTCCTCCTGTCATAGTTCTGGGGCCCCAGGGGATGGAGACCAAGGTGTGATGACACATGCTGTACCAGGCTTGTGCCTACACTATCCGGGCCTGCAGGTGACTGTGGAAAGGTCACTTTTCCCTGGACCCCTCCAGGGATGGAGTACCTTGGGGATCTGACTACTCTGGCAGGCCTTGGGCTTGACCCTCTCCTCCTTCCTGTCCCAACAGCCCCACCCCTGCTCCCAGTCATGCCACTTTGGCCACCTCATCACCAGATTCTGACCCTTTTCAGTTGCCCTCTCTGCCCTTAATGGTTACATGTGGAAGTGGCTCACTCTGGGCCCCAAGCCAGATCCTCTCGGAATCCTGAGCCATCTTGGAGGGACTTCTGGAGGAGAGGGGCTAGGCAACTTGTCCCTCTGGAAGGCAGACTGGAGGCGACTGCACTTTCTGCTTCTTCACTGGCATGGTCCTCATACCACCCGCTTCCTGAGTAGACAGAAGTGAGTTGGAGAAACTTCCTCGGTACCTACGGGGCTCAGAAGTCCTGGCAGGAATAAGTGCTGCTGAATTTGAAATGAAAGGCTGTCCTGTACATAGCCCCCTCCGGCCTCCAAGACTTCCAGCCAGTCCCCAGAGGCTAACTGTACTAGGGGCACCTGGGCAGTTGGTGCCTCTAAAATGAGATAGGCGAGACAGGTGACGGACGCCCTGTGGACTGGAGAGCTAGGGGTCACCCCCGCCCCCACTTCTGCAGGACTCCTCGGTCCCGTCCTGGCCAGCGGCCCTGTCTCCGTCCCCTTCCTGCGGACGAACTACTCCTAGGAGTCTGGGCGCGCCAGATCCTGCGTAGCCCTTCCCGGGGTGATACCGCCCAACAAAGGAGTAGCGGACTGGGTCGCGGGGCGCACCCCCTCTCCTGACCCCCGCGCTCACCCTGCTCCAGGTCCTGCTGATCGTACCAGGGCTCCTCTTCCTCTACGGAGAAGTCCTCCATCCCGGCGGCTCTCCGCATGGCCCCGCGGGCGGTGGTGGGAGGGCGCTGCGGCGGCGCG